CAGGAGCACTAGTCTTAAAAACGAGCCCAAGCGGCTCATGGCTCGTTTTTAACGAGCCAACGAGCCGCTCGGCTCGGTTGCCACCCCTACCCAACACTTTATTGAGTACACCAGTTCTTTTAAGAGGTTTTTCTTTAGAGTAGATTGCAAAAACAGTTTCTAGTCTTAACAATCATCGGGGCGCACTTACACATTCTGTGTTATAGAGTCAACAATTAAAGTGTAATTTTAAAAAAATAAAATAAATATTAATGAAAATAAGTTAATATGTATTTTGATACTTTGAGAACGTCTTATAATTATAAGTATTTGGAAATGGTATTGAAAATGCAATGTTTCGATTTCATTTGACATCTCGTAATGAGCGTGTCAAAGTAAGTTGTAAAGGAGTCAAAAACTATTGTGGGTTCATTTGACTTCACATGACCCCATGTGGGTCCGCCATGACCATCATATATTGTTACCTTTTGAGATCAATTTATTTTTTTGCCCTTTTGCTGTGTACTTGAATTGAGTATCGGTAATAGGAGTAAAGAACGTGAGCAGTACAATTTTAATTTAAAATAAGGTGAAAATTCGATCATTCAACTAAGACCTTGTTTGATTTGTATAAAATTTAGATATTGTAAAGAATATTAAAATTGTATATAATAAATTTGTTTCTATTACAAAGTAGAAGACCCTATTTATAGGGTTACAAATACCTGTAAAAGGAAATAAACATAAAAGGAAAAATTACATAATCAACTACTAAGGAAATTAATCCTGCACTAAAAGGAAATATTATAATGGAAAATATCATAAAGATTATTCTTTCCATATCTTCAATAGATATTTAGTAGATTTTTATAAAAATTTAAGAAATATGTGATTGAAAAGCTAATAAAGGTTGCGAATCTCATAAAATATATGATTGAAAATGAATATTTGAAAAAAAAAAAAAANAAACATAAACACGGTACACCAAATTTGTAGTGAGTATGAGCCTGCAAAGATCAATTAACAAAACTTGTTAATCAAAAATAAATAAAAATCTTTTGGGATGCATTTGCAATTACAAATAGAGAAACAGAGAGTTGAACATAAATCAAGACAATTAAATTGCCCAAGAAAATATTGAATGAATGAATTATCATAAAATGCAGCAACTCCAGTGAGCACCTTAATTTCGACCCGTCTGTATATAACCCATAAAATTCTCACACTTACCCACAATATATACATATAACGATAGATACACAAATATATATATACACACACGTACACGCGAGTCACTTGGTTCTCTTCAAAAATGTATTGGACCATAATGAATATAAAAAACTATCCAAAAGTGAAAATGACGAAGGCACCAAACAAATTTACATTGAGAACAAATAATTTCTCACAACCACAATAGAAAAGCAAATAGAAATTTAATAACTCATTTGAATAAACCTAATCAGCTGCAACAGCTAGAATGTCTGGATAGTTAAGGAAAGAAAGTTTATAGACAAGGAAGTCATCGAGCATATTGTCTACATCAGTGTTGCGCAACTTAGTTTGTCCTCTTATCTAGTTTGTCCTCTTATCTTTCTTCTCATGCGAATTCTTCAACTGCAAGGTAAAACCACTTAACATGATAATTAGGAATCTAACAAAGACCTTTAGGTATCTAACAAAGACAGCGGCAAAATGAGGACATGTTTCACATAGTGAAAGTGAAGATCCCTAAAATGAGCCTTCTCAACAATATCCTTGGTGTCAACAATGACGTAGCCACAGACACCAGAAGATTAAAATACAACTACAAGATAACACCCTCAAACAGCATTGCAGATTTCATCAAAATCGAGAAGAAAAGTGTTGCACCACTCAATTTTTGAAGTAGTTTTTGTTCAAATTGAACGTCTAACATAAGTGCTATGCAATGAAGACAAAATAAATAAAAAATCATTTGCTGAAAAAAATAGAGCATACTTGGCTATGTTTAAAAAAAATTAAGAGTAACTTTTGCAATGGAGCCTATTTGAGGAAAAAATTTCTATAAATATAGATTTGTCTGTATCTTTACGAAATAATGCTAATACAAACTCTTGTAACTTCTCCCACAAATATACTTGCTTTTATGAACATGAGGTTGCCTCACATAGCCCCACCCAAAGCCTCAAAACCAGAATCTCAGTAATGGATAATCTGATGTTTTTGGCAACCTTTCAAACACGTGATGAGGGAGAAAATCGAGGTACTCAAAACAGTAACATTAACACCCAAAATAAGTTCAAAGGACAACATAAATAATTTAACTTACAGTTCTCAATGGCAGGCCTTTCTCAGAAAGGACAAGTTCATGTGGCCTAGGTTTCCTATCCTTTGGACGGTGGTATCGACATGCAGATCTAAATTTGTAATTCCCACATGTCTTCTTTTTGCCATCTTACTCTAGCATAACGTCATAATAAAAATCTACCTCGCAGTAGTTTTAGTCAACCAGAGAAAGCTGTATAGTTTTATTACGTATTCACATATTGGGGTGTCTAATATATAGAACAACTTCAAAATCAAGCACTTCAAAACCTAAAGGTGTATCATGGAGAAGATGTTAAGATTGAAAAGCCTCTTTCATATAGATCAAAATATCATTTCTCAAGAAAAACTATTCATTTTGTTCCTTCTTGTTAAGTCCAAACTATATAATTGACAACTTCTAAATTTGTAATTGACAATTTCCTTAGTCAAAATTAAGTCTTATGCTAATGATTTCTAAGAGAATCACAATTAACTGCTTTTCTTATATTTCAGCAAGTATTCCTTTTCTCCCTTTGAATATTTATGCTAATGATTGATCATGGCGACAGTGAAGTAAACTAAGCAATGAAAGAACCGGAATAATTATTGTGACCATTTTTTATTGTAGATATTATAGTGAATAATTTTCCTATTTCTCAATCAGTGCATATCATTATTGAGAAGTGTCATAATCAAAACTATTTAGCTGGCAGACCATAATGCTTTCCATAACAATAGCTAATATAAGTCGAAACTAATCTTAACTCATTACAATTCTTAGGATTGCTTATTGTATCATTATCAATTGGTGATCGTCCTATTCACATCCCATTATTTCCATTTAAACAAAACAACCATCACTGAAAAAGCTCTTACTTAAACATCAGAGAAATGGAGAAACTAACAGGAATTCAGCTATTAAAAAATTAATTAACTTGATCCACTCCAAATGACCAATGATTACCATTTGGCCTGAGCAATGGGCTTGAGCAGGGATGGCTGTGGAGCACTACAGGGTCCCTTGGTGGCAATCTCCCCGTGAAGAAGAAATCATCAGAAGAAAGATCAAATTCCAGATAATTTGAGAAAGGATTAATATTATATTAACACTACTATTATCATCCCAAATTGACAGCTTCCGAAAAGCATCAATTAACAGAAACTCAACCACACAAATAATTCGAAAGCTAAAACAAATATGAAAGCACAAATGAAAACGAGCACGCAAAAGTTTTGTAGAAAAAATGGAACGAACAAACATACAGAAGGCTCGACTTAGCAGCGGAAGTTCTTCTTCTTGCGATTTCGTCGGTGTCATGGTAGACTTCGTCAGAATCCGGTGGTTCTATATAGAATCAGTTCGGCGGCGGCGTCCTCAAGATGAAGGGATTGAAACTTTGTCGGAATCCAGTGGTCTGTATAGAAGCAGTGCGGCGGCGGCGTCCTCAAAATGGAGCGAATGAGCATTAGTTGTTCAGTGCAGAGATGGGGAAACAGTGAAAGAAGAGAAAGAAATCAGTGCGGTAGAGGTGATTGAGGAACAGAGCAAATAGGTTTTCGATTGGGGAAAGAGTGGGTAATTTCAGCGGACGAAATTTTTTTCTGGGGCCAAAACGACGTCGTTTTAGAGGACGAAATTGGGAATAGTGTTTTCAAAAGTGGCTCTTTTATTGTATAGGGATTATTATCAAACTATTTTTTTTTACATACTTATTTTCAACCAAATATTTACACACACAAAAAAAATTCTGCACGTAAACTAAAAAAAAAAAATCTACTTTTTAAT